TGCTATTATTCAGCACAGAGGAAATAAGATTCCTTGTTAAGAAAGCAAAAGTCATTGATGTAACATGTATATTAGACTACATTAAGATTCTAGAGGGTCAAGAGTATATTATCAAGCAAAATTGCTTAGAGAAAATGTTTGAGACTGAGAGTATCCTTTTTAATATTCCCCTTTATAAAAAGGCTATAAAAAATGGAATTTGAGTGCCTGTTCAAGCCTCAGGAGACTGAGGCAGAGATAGATGGAGCATTTGAGACCAGCCTGGGCTATGTAGTGAGACCTTATATCAAAACACAAGCAATAGTAAACAAATTGGTAAATGTAGGTAAATAAGTCTAAACTGTATGAAGTAATAGCTGGATGGGGAATATATAACGAAGTAGAACTAAAATTTTAGATCACAGTGACAAGCTGGGAATTGATTGATATTAAAAAGTGTTGCTGTCATTAGAAGATACTATGTAATTTTTAACTTTAGGCATTAAGTCTGAGATGGTTGTCCAAAGTTTAAGAATAATGAGAAGAAATGAAATATATGACATCTAAACCAATCAGTAGCGATAACTCATGGGGGAAATAAAGGAAACTTTTTTTAAAGACAGTATACAGCCTTTCTTTGCCTCATCTTGAGTGCTAAGAATGCACCACTATGCCCAACAGAAACTATAAATTTGCTAGAAAATGCGAACAAAGTGAACAGAAAGCTAAGGGAAACAAAGAAGAAACTTTTTAATAAAAAGTAAAACTATCCAAATATATTAGTAACAACAATTTATGTAAGCCATATAAACCTTCCAGTGAAAAGACAAAGGAGACTGGATATTTTTAAGCAATTGTATGTTATTTATAAGAGTCAAGAAAATAGAAAGTGGTTCTAAGAAAATAGTAACAAAGGTAAAGGTGCTATAGTGATTTAGCATCCCGATAATGTAGACATTGGAGCAAAGGTATTATTGGGAATAAAGAACACCAGTGTATAACAATGAAAGATCCAGCCCACCAGAAAATAAAACTTAGATGGCAAAAGTGAAACAACATGGGCAGGTTGCTCAGTGGTAGCGTGCTTGCCTTTCATGCATGAGGCCCTGGGTTCAATTCCGTAGTACCACATAAGCAGAAAAAGCTGGAGGTGGTGCTATATAGCTCAAGTGGTAGAGTTGCTAGCCTTGAGCTGAAGAGCTGGGGGACAGCGCCCAGGCCCAGAGTTCAAGCCCCACAACTGACCAAAAAAATTTTTTTTTAATTGACAGAACATATATAGAACCATGCAGACCTCAGATCAGAGAACACACATTCTTTTCTGGCACACATGCAATGTTAACCAGAATTAAGCAAGTAGGAGGCCACAAAGCAAATCTCAAATCCTCTGAAGTAATATCTTATAGAACATATTTAATGCCAATATATTTGAAAACTTAATGTGTGCATTTTTTTTCCTGAAAAAAACAAGAATATCTAAGAAATTTTTGAAGAAAAAGAAGAAAAGAGGGTTGGTTAGGTGGCTCAGTGGTAGAGTGCTGGTCTTGCATGCATGAGGTTCGATTCCTCAGCATCACAGAAGTGGCACTGTGGCTCAAGTGGTAGAACGCTAGCCTTGAGCTGAAGAGCTGAGGGACAGTGTCCAGGCCCAGAGTTCAGGCCCCATAACTGACTAAAAAAAAAAAAAAAAAAAGAAAAGAAAGGTGGAAAGGAGAGGCACTAACCTTAGGAGATTTTAAGATTACTATAAAACTATAGTAACTTGTAGGCAAGGCACTCATAAAACAGAATAGATCTTATAAACAGATGCAAATATATAAAGGAATTTCACATGTGATTAAAAGTAACAGGTTAATAAGAGGAGTGTGAACTATTTATTAAATGACACTTGGGAAGCTGCCCATTCTTCTGAATATAAGATGAAGATTATACCCATCTCACAGTATTCAAAGATAAATTCTAAGTAGATTAGAGAACTAAACATGAAAAGAAAAATCTGGGGGCTGGGAAGATGCCTCAATGGTACAGTGTTTACCTTGTATGCATGAGGCCCTGGGTTTGATTCCTCAGCACCACATAAGCAGAAAAAGCTAGAAGTGGCTCTGTGGCTCAAGTGGCAGAGTGGTAGACTTGAGCTGAAGAGCTGACAGACAGCTCCCAGGCCAAGTTCAGGCCCCACGACTGAAAAATCTGGCTGGGTGCTGGTGGCTCATGTCTATAATACTAGCTACTCTGGAGGCTGAGATCTGAGGATCATCGTTTGAAGCTAGCCTGGGCAGAAAAGTCTATGAGACTAGCTCCAAAAAACTACTTAAAAAAAGCCAGAAGTAACTCGGTGGCTCAAGTGGTTAGAGTGCTAAAAAGAGGCTCAGGAACAGCGTCCAGGCACTGAGTTCAAGGTGTAGGACTGACACCAAAAAAACAAAAATCTGGAAACTTTAAGGAGAAAATATAGGCAAGTATTAATTTGTGAAAGAAAGGAAATCATAAAGGCAAATATTAAATATTTCAACTCAATTATATTGACCTCCAAAAGCTTGGTATTTTATAATTCAGTTAGAAAATTAACTGGAAAATAGACAAAAGATAAAAATAGGCAATTTACTGAAGAGATGGCAAATAAGAGAAAAAATGTTCAAATTTCTCTGACAAAAAGTGAAAAACTACAAACGCATTGATGCATCATTTCATACTTACTAGTCTGACTTTACCAAGAGTTGGTGACAATGTGGAGCAGTAAGTCAAGAGTATGCTTTTTTTTAAATGATGACTTTGGTGAACAATTTAAGACGTAGAGAACCTGAATGTAATATATCCATATCACTGTGTCCAACCACCTGTATGTATAATTCAGCTTCTGTGTATATATTTGTACTGACATTTATGATATATAGATATATCATAAATAGATATCATATATCTATATAAATATATAGATATATACTACATATTCCTTTAAGAAACTCTTACCCAAAAACCAGAGGACATTTGTTTGCCAAGAAAACAGTAGTGATGATCTCAGTGTCCCTCAGCAGAACAGATAGTTATTTTGGAATACTCACACATTGAAATCAATTTAAACAAATGATTTAAACAAATTATTAGCTTTATTGTCTACTGAATGTTTCTTCATCCTGGTTTAATATCTGTGATAGGTGTAACTATCGTTTCTCAAACACACATTTTTTTTTCATCCTGGGCTGGATTACTTTTTCTCCCTACTTAATCCTTGGAGGTTAGGCAGGCCATGTGACTGGGCTTGGCCAATGAAATTGTCAGCAAAATGATGTATGTTACTTTTAAGGAGAAATACTTTCAGAGCTAGTGCTCTGTTCATTCTCTTTCTACTGCTGCTGTGATTGAGGAAAGGTCAGTATGAATCCTCTTGTCACCAGGATCCCTGAGTGATGAAATGAGCAGAGCCACCTGGATAATTGAATACAAAATGAGACTGGAAAATAAATATATGTTACATTGAGCCACTGAAGGGCTAGGAGCTCTATGTTCCTGCAGCATAACTTACCTAGAGTATTGTTTGCTATCTTAGTTCAATTTACTGTGTATCTTATTCCCTCTCTTCCAAATTATAGAATACTGGCTCCTTTCTAGGAGATAAAGATACCAAGACTTACCCTCTAAAGTTAGTTATTCACCTCTGTTTTGTTTCAAAGTCATCAGAAACCTCTCTGAGCCCCATTTCTGTTAGGAAACTGTTCTTAAAGACAATTTTATCACTATTTTGTTTGCTGCTTTGGAATTAAGCTTAATAGTCAAGGGATTCATCATGGGAAAACCCATTTCTCCCCCTTTCCCCTCTTCTCTCTCTTACTTCTTTATTTGTGGATGACCTTACTCATGTATAGAGAGCAAACCAATTAGTAAAGGATGTCAGATGAAGGCTTAAAATACAAGCATGTCCAACTTTGGGAAATAAGTGTATTGCTTAGAAGATAGCTGCAGAATCACTACTTCACATCATTATAAAGTTACAAGGGTTTGGGCTTGGCGGTATTATTGCTTGCCATCTTTTCAGAGATTCTAACATACTAAAAAGTAGAGCAGGTTAATGTTGTAGCTTTTGGTGAAATAGGTTATATGTCTAAAGAAAATATAGATTTTTGGCTGAATAGCATAAACATATAGAGAAGGCCCGTGGGACTTAAAATGCTCTTATCTTTTATTATCTCTTCTCAGTGTTTAGAGAATCCCATCACATTGAGCAGCCATCGTTTTGTGGGAGCTCTTGACTTTTTATAAATGAGCAGGTTGATAGGAACTTGAAGTGGAAAGAGAGAGAGAGAGAGAGAGAAAGAGAGTAAGAATCAAAACACAGCTGTTTTTCCAAGATACAGCAGTTCATGAACAAAGGCAAGAACGAACATATGTGTCTCAGTGCACAGAATAGTAAACAAACAAAAGAAGGAAATGGATTTACTGAGACCAATTGTATATTCTAAAAAGGAATTAATACGATGTCCTGGATCACTTTATGTATTATAAAATTTTGAACTTAAAAATTTTCTATTCTCTCTCTCTCTCTCTATATATATATATATGATATTATATCTGAAGCTCACAGAGCTTCTGCTTTAGTATGTGGGGGGCCCTAGACTGATCTTCAGCACTACACACACACACACATACACACACACATACACACACACACACATACACACACACACACATACACACACACACACACACACACACACACACACACACACACCCCTCTTACTTGTTTAGTAGTTTCTTGTTTCAGTTATATTCTACAATGTATAGTCTCTGTATTTTCTAGGTTATCGTGTTTCTTTGTAATAAAATACTTTAGGACTAATTGCTACACATGGTTTTGTTTATTCCAACCTTAGGTTCAACCTAAAAAAATTATTTGGCTCTTAAGCAAGATGTTATAGTTTGCATTTTATTATTGGTTTGAGATGGTAATTAATTTTATTCTGAGCATGCTGTTGGGATATATGTACTTCACATCCTGATGCCAAATATTGTGTTTGGATTCACAGTTCCCATGGAGAATGTTGCAACAATTGCTGATTGTGCCAGTGTGATTGAAGGAGTCAGTCGGAGCCGAAATGCCTTGCTAAATGGGGACACTAAGAATTATGATTGGGACTCTGGCTACACGTGTCACCAGCTAGGGAGCGGTGCAATTGTTGTTCAGCTGGCACAGCCATACATGATTGGGTCAATACGGTAAGATTTCTTTGCGTTCACTAGTTAAAAAATTTTTTTAATGCATGTGAAAAATGCTATTTTGGCAAAATAATGTTTAAGAGGACAAGCAAAGAGATACTAAATGTTTTTCTTTGTTAGTAAAAGACACCAAAATTCAACTTTTTTTTTCTTTTTTTTGATACTGAAGTTTGAACTTAGGGTCTCAGCTTACTTGCTTCCTTACTAGACTTGAGCCACAACTCTAGCCCCTAATTCAACTTCTGGGGACTAGTAAAGAGGCTTTTTTTGGGTACAACTTGGCTATGAAAAATGTCAAGAGAGCTTATATGGATGAAAAAAATCATTTTCAACTTTAATAAATACGTTTATAAAATTCAGATGACCCAAATATGCATGACTTTTGTATTTGTTTTATTGATTATTGTTCATTTCTTTTAAGAAACTTTAACTCTATTTGATTTATAGGATTATACAATTTGTTTTTTATTTTTACATTTTTGCTGGTATGGGGGCTTGAACACTAGGCCTTGCATCAACTCAATTTGCATGCTCACAGCGGGCATTCTACTGCTTGAGCCATCCTTCCAGTCTAATTTTTTGCTAGTAAATTGAAGATGGAGTCTCTTAGACTTCCAGTGAGGCTAGCTTGGAACCTCAGTCCTCTAGGACTCATCCTCCTGAATAGCACAGATTACAGTTGTAGCACTCCTTAGCTGGCACTGCCTACTAGTGGATTATATAATTTTGAAGTGTGAGTCTGGTGATACTCTCAGAGTGTATGCTTAGTTCACTAGAGCCCTTTGGGTCTTAGATTGTTATTTTCTCTTTCCCTCCCTTCTTTTCTCCTTCCTTTTTCTTACCTGTAGCTCCTAAAGATCTTCAAAGGGGGCCTCTTGAAGGGCTCATGTAAATCATGTCTATCTGTCCATCTTATTTAGTCTGCCTGGCATAGATGTGTTAACAGTACATGACTGCTTTCCCCATTGTGCTTTACTGCATTTTAGTCTTTCCTGTTTTCACTTGAAAGAGAGAACACAAAAAGTCAGACAATAGGAGTCTAATGGGCACGGGTTTGTTGCTGTTCAGGCTAATAATCACAGAGATTAATGCTGCTTATTTCTGCAGACACTGAGGAGTAGACAGTCCTTTTTTTTTTTTTTGGTGACTTCAGACTGCTAGATCCCCTTTTTCTGAAGGGCCACCTCACAAACTGAGTACCACAGGCAACAAGTCAGAGAGTTAGCAACATGGAGTTCAGACTGAAGGTTAGATTAAACTCAGAGGGAAACAACCAGCCATATACAATCTCAACAAGCTACTGGTACAAATACACTTTTTTCAAATCACAAACACCCTCCTTCCTGTTATTTAGTTGCATACATTAACTAAAATACTCATGAACTCATTTATTAAGTGAGCTATTCTAAAATTTTGTCAGGGATGTGAAATGTATTCCCAGTATAGTTTATCCCTCTTCACTTAAAAAAACAAAGCAAAACTAGAAAACAGTTGTCCTTCCTTTGTCTTCCAGCACTTTTATGGTCTCTACAATTTCTTCAAGATTACCAATCGTGTCTCTGAGATTACATCTGCAATTTCTTTCAGCAGGCTTGGGGTGTAACTCATCTGAGCCAGGAGACTTGAAATCATTTAAATTGACTAGATACTCTCTTTCACTTCACCTATTTGAGACTTCAATTTTCTCTTTATTATGTTTGTTCTGCCATTCCTAATTTGAAGACCAGTCTTCTTGCCAATGAGGATTGAAGCAAGCAGGCAGCTTAGTAGCTCTACCAACTCTCTTTTAATGTTCTTTGCATTCCATTCACTTACCTGGTACTCTAGGCCCGCTTTTTCCCAATCTAAGAGGGTTCAACCAGGATGGCTTATGTAGGTTTTATTATCTTCCTCCTTCCCACACCAGTGTGATTCCTCTTTCCTGTGGATCTTACCTCTTGTCCATGGCCCTTCAAATCTCATCGTGCTGTTCTCACTGCTTGCATACTCATTACATTCTTGTTTGTGTCTCCCTCTCCCCTCCCCCAACCCCACTTTTTACTGGAATGTTTCTATTCTACTGTCCAGATTTTACTCTTTGGGAATACTTCTCTAGCTGACATCATTTTCTGGGCATACTGAGACAGCCCCTTCAGCCACACGCACATTCTGTATTAGAACTGTGGTCACAGCAGTTATTTATAATAGTTTACTTACTGACCCCACCCAGCATCAGCTGGTATATAATAAAGTCTATGGCAACTGAATAAGCTTTTCATGACTGGTTGAATGTTCCAATGTCGTTGAGTGCCAAGACAGAAGGGGGAAATATAACAGGTTTAGTAGGAAATCTATAGTTTCAGATCCAGCAGGGACCTCATGAAGTCATTACTTGGGGTGACAACTCAAACAGAAAATACACAAAGCCATCTTGGCTTTTAGTATCACTGAAGAATCACAGATGTTGAATCTGACTCCAGGAAAGTATGTCATTAGGGTTTTAAGCAAGAGAGAATGGGCCCACTTGCTTTTCTTTAAATGTGGAATGAAAATGGTTCCCCCCAAACAAATTTGCTTTCCTTACTTGGTGGGGTGGTAAGATGGTGAGCAGGCACACAACTAAAGGCAGAACTGTGTATCACAACACAGTATGAAGCATCCAACTTCTTTAAGCCCAACTATTGTTTTTTCAGTTAAAAAAAAAAAATCCATGCAACTGAAGCTCTGTATAACTAGCTGAGCGTTCAAAGAGACACGTCTTGGTGAAACTAACATTATGTTGTCAGGAACTGCATTTGCCTCTTCTGTGACATTATTAAGAGAAAAGAGAGAGAGATTTCCTAGCCACCAATGCCTGTGGACAATGCTGGATATCTTGGCAGGCTGCAGTTAGCAGCAGCTGATATGCCCAGATAGACATTTATTGATATGAAACTAGATCAGTGGCACTTCTTCATGGAGATGGGTAATTGGCCAATGACAGGTTGATTAGTCAGTGACATTTGACCCATGGCTTCTATTTCTTGTGATGACTGACTTGCTTTCCTAGTCACTGTATCTGCAACAGCCCTGGGATTTAGAATCAACACCTACTGGGAGAACATTACAGAGTTGAGACTCATTGTTTCCTCAGCTTGAAAATTTGGTATCTCTTCCAACCCTGGTGAGGTAGGCTATCATGTGGTTCTCAGGCTATAAAACTCAGGTTTCTCTGTGATTGGTGATGTCACAGGTAATGAATTACCTTGATCATTGTGTTCTTTATTCTGTAGAGAGGACACCATTGTTTTTGTGGATAAGATTTCTTTTTACCTACAGAAAATCCTTTCTTCCTCTCCTGAGAGTTTGCCCTGTATCTGGATAGGTATGCAGATCCTTTTTTTCTGGCACAAAGTACTTGAGTATGCATAAGGTCTCAGGAGCCCAGTCCTCCTAGTGTGTCCAGTACCAGTACCATTATTTCCTTTCATTCATTCAACAACAAGCATTTACTAAGCCTCTATCTCTGTGCCAAGTATAGTGTCTAACAGACACTGAGGGATACAGCATTGAATAAACAAAATATTAGTGGTGTCATAAAATTAACACTCTACTGGGGATAGGAAACAACCAGTAATAATAACATAATAATAATATCATTTGTAATATTTTAGCTACTTGGAAGTACTGTGAAGAAATCAAGAGGGAGGAGGAAGAGGGGGAAGAGACTGCGGTTTTGGAATGCGTGCTCAGGGCAAGTTCACTGAGCAGGGTGATATTGAGAAAGCTAGCTGAAGGATGGAAGAAGCAAGCTCCTTAAGGATCCAGGATGTGCACCATAGACAGTGCCAGGCCACCCCTAGTGAACTTCAGGAAGAGGGAGTGTGGGGGGGGCAGGAATGGTAGAAGGCCTGTGTGCCTCCACCTCTTCTCACTTAGCCTGCCCAGCCAGCTTCTGGAAAAGCAAGGGCAAGCCTCCTAGTCGCCACCATTTAATAGGGAAACACTCCTTTATCTTTTGCGCTTTCCCAAGACAGTGTAACTGAGAAGTAAAGGAGCTTGTCCTTGTTGCTAGGTTTATAGGCACAACAAAATTTACTCATTTTGTTTTAGAGAAAAAGAAATTACCTGGAATGTGCCTTAAAAGTGGATAATTGAGTTGTAATTATATCATTTCTATGCCATTTTAAAAACATTAAAATTTAAATAACAAGAAATCTTCAGAGGCCTGACCACATAAAAAGACCAGAGCAGAGTCATAATAACTAACCAAATCTACCTAATGTCTTAGTTTATAGTCCCTCTGCCACCTTAGTTTAAGACTTATTATCTTTCTACTTGCTAATCATGATATCTTGTTAAGTGTTTTCAGAATAGGATGAGAAATCAAATATGCTATGCATTAAGTACACCTGTAACCCAGTCTTTTTCAGCTAATAAATGCCACCAGCACTTTGTTGAAACCTTAATTATAAGATAGTCAGTTAAATTAACAATTTTTATAGCAGCTAGAAAATAATGGTTTTGTAATGGACATGTGCAACAGTGCAGGCAAAATACCCATGATGCTCTGCATAGCAAACTTAATTTTAAGTAAATAGGCTGTCCAAAATTGAGATGATGCCAATGGAGGACACAGCTAAACAGACCCAGATTCTCTATAGGTGTTGTGAGGATTAAATATTTCTAGTTCCTAAGTGGGAACATATATAAATGCATTATTAGTACAAAATGAGTATCCAAAGTGTGTTCTTGATAGGTGTTCATAATTTCTTTAGTCTGTGGGTATGAAACTCTTTTACTTTGGAGAAGGGAAAAAATTCTGCCACTTATAAAAGGTCTAGCACAGTGTGTCTGAACCACAAATAATTTGTTTACAGTTATTAAACACAGATAAAAAGAAATAAGCAAATGATCCAAGGGAAGGAAAGAAGTTAGGAAAGAAGGAGGAAGAAAGGAAAGAGAGAAGAGGGAGGGAGAAAAGGAAGGAAGGAAAGAAAGAAGAAAGGAAGGAAAGAAGGAAGACGGGAAGGAAGAAAGGA